TTGTGGTTATGATGTATGCTGCTTGGAGGGATTGTGTGGTGGATGGGAAGTGTCAGGCGCCTGTGGAGTATGGAGTGCGGGATCGTGATGGGTTGTGATTGCGGCCACGGTGGTTTTTCTTTTGAGGTTTTCTTCCTTTTTTTTCTCCCCTTTTTGTACATCGTACCGGTTGTGATATGCATACCCCAAACGAGGCTTTCCTGCCCAACGATGATAGCATTGTACCAATTGCTGCTGAGAACGTACACCAGTACGATATAATGGGTATTCCGATGTGTATTTGCGGTTGCTAGTGAGTGTGGTTTCTTTTTTGCGCGTTTCTTTTTTGGTGGAGGGTTTTTTGGGCGCGTTCTGGGTTTCAGCTCGATTACTTTTAAGCTGGGAAAAAGTGCATACCCTACACCCGTGACCCAGGAAACGCGGAAGCTTCGTCTGACAATACACTGGCTTGAGCAGAGTCCAAGTGGCGCGCGAACTAGTACTATAAAGGAGATAGGGCAAACTCACTCGCGTTCTGATGCCAAACCCGAGTCGAACATGGTAGCGGCTCCGCATCTAGGGTATCATCCATATACCCAAGCTCATCAACTCCTTGTTTTTGGTTCCCCCTTGCGACCTTTGAATTTGATACTCCAAGCCAGATTCGATAGACCGACTCTCATTTCATGAAGTAGGTCACCCTGCTAACGCTTCCATCTTTGGTCTCCGATTTCCTCAGCTGCTGCGTCGAGATAGTAGGACTCCTCGCATGGATGTTTATGCCAAGTTCGGCCCTCGATTCTCGAAACAGTAAAAAACGAGCCTTTCGCGTTTACGAGAGCGGTGAGAAATGAATTCAGTCATCAGTTTCGAAAGTATCAAGATGAGAGGTGTCAGGGACTACCACATCTCGCTGTCGTGGTCGTGGTTAACCCCAATCCTTGGACGAGTCACGGAGTCACAATCTACCACAGATCGCGCCTGTGACGCCGGCTCAGGCTCAGCCAATTACATTTCATCAGCGCGAACCACTTTGGGGAATGCTCTTCACTGTGGAGATCTGTAGGCGAACGTATTGGTGGTATATTGAGGATAGATAGAGGAGTAAGAGACCGCGCAAGACGACAACATGGTCGAGGATGGGGTGGTAGTGGGGTTTCGCCTTCAAGCTGCCTTGTCGTAAGTGAAGGCAATGGAATGGATTTGGGTCAGAGTGGCCTGGATCATGATACCCATAGCTATTGCCTTGATCATATCTGTCCCCAAGTTCCTCCACCACCACCAGGCTCTTCCCTTTTCTCGTCTCTTGGGTGAGCATTGACGTCCGTCTTCCACAAGCCTATCTGTTTGGTCGTACCCACGCTTGTTTTTTCCGTGTTGCCTTTATAAATTGGGTTATCTAGCATCGTTTCCTTCTTCCAGACCACCATCACGATTCACAACAGAGTCCATTTTTGAACGCGTACCCTCATGCCAGCTCCATCCACAATGTTCAAAGTTGAAGAACGTCGCCAGCGAAGGCCCCACCCGTACCGTCCTGTCCACCAGTACCCTGTCCACAGACGATTTCCTCCCACCAAAGTGAGTCTTGTGCAAGTTGCTTCTACAATTACCCTCATTCATCTTCCGGCTTCTCAGGACGCCGATCCTCTTCCTGAGCCAATTCAAGCAGGCGATGCCCTTGGGGCGGCCATCGACGTACGCGAATTCATGATTATCGTTCTGCTCTTGGTGTTGGTAAGGGGTTCCACCGTTTTCAGCAAGCAATCGTGTCATCTCACACAATGTCCAGCGTTTATTTGTCGCGATCTTTCTTCATGGAAATGCTATCCGGGCTTTGACTGAGAATGGTCGCGATGCTACCTGAAGGATCAACCCAGTCCCTACAACAAGTGTGTTCCTTCCACTGTACATCTTTCATGACGTCTCACCGTTAATTTGTAGAAACTTCCCGTCGTACACAAAACCAAAATTACCTATACCCTTTCCCCTCGTCGCCATTGTACACTATCTCTTTCTTGGTCATCACTTAACACTCAGCCCTTCAGCACTCGTCCGTCCCTGTATTTTATTGCTATCATCTTGTTATCCTGCTTGCTGCACTGCGGAATCGTGCCTGCCATACATACCTCCACTGTGGCTCAGATTGTGGATCAACCTTCAAGAATATTGACCACGCCGCAATGGGCGCCCTTTTAGATCTCTATGACTCCTTCATGCTCTGCGGAACGACAGAAGCCAACAGAATATCATTGCGATTGCTAGCCTATTCATCGCCTAGACTTCGAGATACGAGCATAAAGACGCGACTACGTGTGAACAAGTGATGCTGAAGCTCGACGTTCTGTTACTCCCACGTCCGACCAGATCCTCACGAATCACTGCTTTTTTGACTTCTCTCTGATACTCACTCCTCACTCGGAGTAGTTCTCGAGACGTCATGCGTGAGCATATGAACTTGCATGTTGTCTTCACGACTGTAATCCTTTTCGCATCCAGGCCAAGGGCATTTATCTAAGTATCTCGTCAGTCAGGCAAACACTTTCGAGACTATCGCGTTGAAACCATACGCACATCTTTTCCCAGTATGCAAACCTCTGTGCCTCAGCAGATGCGCGTGCCTCGAGAAACGCTTTCCGCAGCCAACAGCTGTACACAAGAAACGTCGGGCATCATCTTTTTGCACAGAGTCCCTGGTCTTCGAGGTGCCATGGGTACACATGTGTTTTTTCAATGCATCACTACAGGCAAAGTGCCTCGAACATCCGGGCCAAGAACATTTATCTGAAAAAGGTAGCTCAGACGGGCGTCATCTGCAGGTCTAAACGCCATTGCGGCTCACACTGTCGTTGTCCTCGGTAGTGCGATCGAGTGTGTAGAATTCGGCCCGTCGAGCTCATAAATCGCTTCTTGCATCCAGGAAATGTGCAAGTATACGGGGAGGCTTTATTCGAACACATAAGCGGAGTCCGAGGAGCGCTCGGGTAGGCAAAGGGAGGTAGCAAACTCACTCTTGTCCTTATTCCGAGGGACCTCAGTGCCCACTGCTCGTCTCTGTCCTGCTATTGGCCCCGAGGTCTCACACGAGCTAATCTCTTCCTCCCCAGGTTGATACTAGGAGTGCGACAAGCGTGGACGTTGTCTAATTGTCCTTGTTTCAAGGTGGCAAACGGCGAAACGCACCTCCGATACATCGTCCTCCTCAGGGCTGGAGTATCCTTCTTCCTCCTGCTGTTTGCTGGTCGTTGTATCGTTCTCCAACTGTGCTATCCTGGCCCTTTGCCGCGCTACCTGCAGACCATTATGTTACATGTATAATAGATTTTGAAGGACCACTGGCATGGCTTACTAGTTTCTCTAGCCCGATGATCTCTCTCCGTGCTTAGTCGCGTTCAGCCAGCGCGCTCCGGGCTTCTTGTATCGCATTTGCGCTTTCCCGTGTCAATCGACTCATTTCCCTGCTGTGTCTAGCCTCTACCTCTGCATCTCTTGAATACTGTCAGTGTATGGTCATACGCAATTCGAACTAAGCCCTTCATAGCTTTCAGAGAGACTCACCGTTGAGAGAAGGGTTTTACGAATGAACGAGATCGATTCTTTGATCTGGTCCTGATACTCGTCGTGATTATTATCCATGGCGCTAGACTTGGACTGTCAACTATTCCGGCCTTCTCCAGAGTTCGGGATCTCAGAAACACTTTGAGCAAGTCGAATCGGCTCTAGTGAGGGCGATGTCAGAGATGAACCATGCGTCCAGCATACCACGAATTCCTGTAATCATGGTTCAGAACAACCGTGCGAATCACGGAGTCACAATTAGTCACGGATGGAATCTATGTGACGATGCTGTGACAGGCTGCGATCTGCTGCGATTGTTATCAACTTGAACTTTGTCGACCAAATGCCGCCAAAACCTCATCACTGTAGGATGCAGGAGTCATCATCTATATGATCTCACAGTACTCCCATGGCTCGATCCTGCTAAAGTTATTCATTGGGGTCGACTCAAATGTAACCCTGAATGTGGCCAGCCTCGATCGACAACGACAGAAAATCGCCGGCAGTGAACCAAGGCTTTGACTATCTGGGCTCTGTGTTGCGCCCTAGAGCGTTCCGGAGTCTTATCAAGATAATCGCACCTCAACCCGACACGGTGGTCCGACTTCTGAGTATCAAGCGGGGACCTAGTTCGACATTCAAGTCAATGGTGGTTTCTATACTTAGTTTAGTGAGTTTTTTCTCACCTCGGGAAGTCTTTTCGCTCAAGTGTTGAGCAGTCGGAGCAGTGAAGAGGGACCCTGAGGGACTTCAGCTATGGAGCGCTTCACGCTGGGACTTGTCGGTCTTCTCGGAGGGCTCAGAGAATACCGGGGCTAAGTAGCCTCAAGGCTTAAGTAGCGCGTGGAGAGCTGGTAATTAAGAATCCAATACATCTGCTTCCGTGCATTTTTGTCTCGCTGATCCGCCGGGAGGGTAAATACTTTGTGCGGGAAATGATTTGTGATTATCATGATACAGACAAACCGGCTCGTCGTGAGGGTTCAGTTCGGATATCTCGGAAAAGGCGCTTGTCGGGACTCTGGCACCGTCAATCCGGACATCAAAAACGCGTTTTTCAAGATCTTCATGGTCCTTCCTACACAGCAATAGCCCAGAATTCGGGTTCTACCAGTCTACTCACCGGACGGCTCCCATGCACGGAAAGTAGCATGCCAGAAACAGGCACCCGCTGATCTCCGCGATGTATAGTACTTCCATCTGGTTGACAGAGCCCCAGATTTCTACTGGCTGCTCCACGTCTCCCTGGCTGAGATTCCCAGCACTATACACTTCCTGCTGGCTCTTTGTTTTTCCATCAACCACGGATCCATCGGTATCCTTCAAGTTACTTAATCGGGCTGCTGAATTCAAGTTCAATTTACATCGGCATCGGATAGCTCTCAATCCTTCTGTTACACGTGCAGTTCAACGGATGCAATGCTCGCCGGTACATGTACCTGTGATTGTGGATTAGGCTCGACGTCTTGGTCGATTAGTGGTTAAATCATCTCGTTGTGGCGCTGACACTACCGAGAAGCCGAGGGCTCGACTCCCTCCCGAGACAATCATGGCGACCCATACTTTTTCTCAGTTGCGTACCAGTCTATACTAATTCCTACTTGCCCACTTGAGTGTTGGTGTATCTTTTTTTTTTGCTCTGCTGGTTCGTTTTCATTTTCATCTGTCCGGTGGGTGAGATCCTACGTACACTACAGATGCGGGGATTCCCACGAGCCGCGGTGGATTCCCGACCTCTTCTCAACCAGTTCGTCGAACATGTACACCCACAATGGTCAATACATGCACTGGGTGGTCGACGGTGAAGCCTGAGGCGGACCCAGGTGGACCCCCAATATCAGGTTCCCTCAATACCGCCTTCTGGAAGTGCAAATGTCGCTGTGGCGTCAACTTACCGGCTCCTCGTGCCTCCTTGAAACTCTATCAGATATCCTCCCATCATTGCTAAGTCTTGTCTCCATTCTCACTGAAATTCGGGGGCAAAAGTCATCCGACTTTACCCATCCTCTGAATGGATTTGAAAATGCAATTGACAGCGACCAAGTGACCCAGCTGAGCTGAGCGGTGCGTTCGGTAAAATTCTTGCGTCCCTCAGACCCTCGCAAGGTACACTGGCACAACAAGCACACCCAAACGTAATTTACAGTGTCAAAAAAAGCTTCCTTGATCGTGCAAGGTTGAAGTGCCCAGACATTTAGCACCAATCGAGCGAAAGTAACGGAAGGTTGAATCCGTTATGAACGGAAAGGGGCGGGAGTCACTGTCTGACTTCTACGCCGGCCGGGCGCTTGGGAGTGGAAATTGTGGAATTTCTGTGGATACCCCCGTCGCCCGATGGCGGGATTCTGGTCAATGTCTCGGCAGTCGAGAAGAGGAACTCTTCCGGGGGTGGTAGTATCCCCCCAAAGTTCTCCCTGCTTCAACTTCGACGCTTATAACCCTCCTGAGTCCCGCGGAACCTGAACGACGAATGTGAAACGTGTGGCGTGAGGGCATAATGAGTCTTGCTAGAAGGCGCTCCGCTACATACTGAAACGACAATCGGGTCGGGTCGAACTGTTATATGGTTCCGACCCCGAGTCGGACTTCGGTAGCCACAAAAGTAGCTATGGACGAGACAAATATGCTCACTACACCACACAGACGTCTTCAGAGATCCGACGGAACGCATGCGGGCTTGCATGCGGGCTGTACATAGTGAGGAAAAGAAATTCACGAGGTAACAGATCAGAGGAATTGTGCGGTGAGCATTCTGCTCGAGTGATCGTTGCTGTTACCTGTGGCTTAGGATCCCTCGGACTTGACTTCAGACTCGTAAGTCCGTCATCCGTGCCTCTGTTAATTATGCATGCTTTCTTTCAGCATTCCACGTCGCTTTTCGATTCTCGATTGATGGTCTTCGGCTATGGTAGGAGCCTATTCAATGCGGCGAACTCTAAGACTGGGAGATGGCCATCGGAGAATGCCGACCGATTGCGAGTGCGAGTGCGAATTCAAGTCGAAGAAGCGGATCAGTCCAAACTCCAAGTCAGGTCTCAACTCAGTCTAGGCTAAGACGCTACGTCGTTCCTTTAAGGTTCTGTGATGAGTCGAATGCTGTTGGCTATGTCAATACGTTCAAAGTACTCCAGTTTACAAACAACAGTATTTTTTTGGCTCTAATGAATGGGCTACTGCGAGTAGCTATTCAATGTATCGTACACAATAAGTCAAGGGGGTACCGTAGGATAAACGGATGGACCGTATAATAGCGGTCGAGTAAAATACTACACCGGATATTATCTCGTTGGTGATAGCGTAGAGGCAGCGCGCGAAAGGAAGAGGAATGAATGACAGTGGATGAAAATAAAATGACTATAAGGATAATGTGTAGAACATGCCTAATGCTTGTTTTGTGTCGAATTGCAGGAAGGATGATAACAATAATGAATATGTGTGTTGAATAGTCCGTGTGCGGCTTATATGCATGTCTGTGAGTTTGTGAACGGCTGTTGATGGCGTGCGAGAAGGAAGACCTCAAGAAGCCCATAAATACGGTGGTGAAGAGAGGTGGCGAAACGTTGGGGTGATTTCGCCGGGTATAGTCGATGCTCGCATAAGCGTACAAGTTGTGGACGCGAAGGAGATGAGATGGCAGGCATAACAGTGTCCAGGGACAACGAGAAAGGGAAGGTTGGGTAGGACGTCGGCGTGTGCGTGTGTGGATGCCAGATGTTTTTGGTCGTCGTCGAGGACGCGCAGCGGGACGTCGTACGGAAGGGAGAGGAGAAGAGAAGAGAGAAGGCGAATCCAAAAACGGAATCCATACAAGGGAACAAGGAGAATAACAACACATAAGAATAGAACAGAACAATCAAAGGTATGACTGGAGACGAGAACGACGGAACCCAAATTGGGGGATGTGATAGTGTCTAGACGCCGTATGCGCCAAAAGAGATCACGAGGGGAAAGGAAATTGAGATGTTCCATCCGCGCAAAGAGAGAATTCCATATGACCCATCCGTGGATCGATAAACAAGAGGTAGGGAACCCATATCCATAGTCACCGTCCATTCCGAATCGAGAGGTAAAATACAGACCCGTGGCCAACGATTAGGTGCGAGGGTTGAAGTCTTTGTGCACGCGCATGTGCTGTCCGAGATTATCGTGGCGACTGAAATCTTTGCCACATCCAGGATAAGGACATTTATGGGCTGTACACCGATATGAACAAACCGTGGCAGGAAGGGAGATGAAGTACAACCCACGTTTTTCCCATGTATGAATACTCCTCACATGTCTCTTTAGGTGTTCGCCTCTAGCGAAACACTTCCCGCAACCGGGGACCTTGCACATGTGAATCCTTGCGCCTTTGTCTGGAGAGAGACGACGTTAGTGAAGCTGGTCCATACTAGACGGAAAGAAACGTGTAGGTACCAGAATTGTGACTGCTAGACGATGAATAGACAGTGGGGACCCTCCTACCCCGACTCTTTTTCGTAAGGTTTGGGACTGGCACGGGTACAGGTAATGAGGTGCTGGGTCGGCTCCTCCTCTTGTTCGGTCCTCCCATGCCATCTCCATGCAGGCTCAGATGTCCGCTACTGCCGTTTAACAGCCCACTGGAGCTACTGTCATACGAGGACCCGGGGTGAGCTGAATAGCTATGAGACATCCCACCCGATCGTGTAGAGTACCCATGTACGTGGACCCCCATGCCTCCGTCGCCGGTTGACAGAGGTGTGAGTGGGGTTAGCGGCGTATTGGGGGTGGTAGTCGAGGTAGTCGTCGACGTCGATGCCCTCCGAGACCTGAGGGTATGTAGGCTCAATTCCAACGAAGGGGGATAAGTCGGCTGGTGGTGAGTGGGGTACGTCAACTCATCCGTAAAGGAAGTTGAGGACGTCGAGTCGTATGAGGTGGAATGAGCAATGGACTGCGGTGTCTCATAGGATGCGTTGGACGTATATCCTGCCGTTGGGTAAGGATTATATCGGTGACTGTGGTCGACAGTCGTGCTAGTCGTACCGGCCCTGTGTCTCACCGCACCGCCACTTGATGAGATGTTAGAGCTGAAGACTCCGCCGGGCGGGGAGCCCATGCTGTCGTGGGAATACCCCCAAGGGTATGAAGGCTGAGGCGAGTAGGTCTGAGGGACGGCAACGCTGGGGCTGGTAGCAGCTCTCCGCCGACCAATTGGGACACCGAGCCAGGACTGCTGGGGAGAGTGATGATGATTCGACGATAGATGCTGGTGAGAGGTACGGCGGGGGACGGACGGTCGCGAACGAGGGACGAATTCGGGATCGTTGGGGTCTTCGTAGTCGTACTCTTCTGACTCACCGTCAGCGTCAGAATATCCGTCATTATCCACATCGCCGTCCTGGGGAGGGAGCTGATCGAGTTCGGTGCGCTCTAGCGGTGATATGAGGGCGGTTGGCGACACGACTCCATCATGACCGCCGTCAAGGTCCACGCGGACCGCAGACACCAGCGAGTAATCGGGGTCGAAAAAGCCTGACTGAGATGATTCTGAGGCGGAAGAAGATTTTCGTTTGGTTGACGGCCGGATGCCCTCAAAGATTGTGTTAGGAGGTATCACGACGGATAGAGAGTGTGATTGCGGCGACGGAGAGAATGTATCGCTAGTTGAATCACCCTCTACCTTAACAATGGGGTTCTGGACATCGACATGGCCATCTGCACCGGCCGGTGACGAGGGTGAAGAGTCCGAGGCAGATGTGGTGGTACCAGAGCTGTTCGAATAGCGAGCATGCGGGTGAGGACCGCCGGTGGCCCTCACGATCTGTTGCGAGGGCGAGTAAAAGTCGTGGTGACCAGATACGAAACGAGGATCGCACACAGCGGCAGAATCCGACTGTGGTTGATCCAAGCGTGGCTGCATGTGGTGCTGGGAGCTCAATGGCGGCGAGAAGGTAGGTGAGTGAATCTGCTGCTGTCCTTGAGCCCCATGCGTGTACGAAGGGTGGTAAACCGCGTCGATATCCATGTCGTATTGGTGTTGTGTGGCACTGTGAGTGGCACTGTGAGTATGGTGCTGGATCGGGGCTGTCTCGTAATGACGCTGTTGTTGACTGTGAGGGTTATTGAGTGCCCCGAGGTGTATCTGAGATTGGCTGGCACCGTATTGCTGTTGCTTGTGATACGAGGTGTTCATATATGGTGAGGACATGGTGATCATTGGAGGTGAGTCCAATGGTGACTCTCGATGCTGTGAAGGTGTTCAGATCAGCATCAAACCGTTACGAATACAAAGCAATTGACAGAATGAACAAGGATCGAAATAGCTCGAAGAAACGGAGAAACATGGGAGAAATAACGGGGACAGTGAACGGAGAAATCAGAACGATGAAGAACCAAAATGCGTCCATAATCATGGAAATAATCATGGAAATAAAATATAAGAAACGAGACACACACCTGAGTACCATTTCCGAACGATACTTCATCATAAAAACCAGTTGTTTGTGCTGTAGTATGAACAGCAGCGGTATTACCATTCCGCCAATCTTCAATCTCCAAATCCAGTATGGACTGGGCCGGCTG